CCCGAGCCTTCCAGCACCCAAGTGAGGCGGTTCGGGGGCCTCTGCATGATGTCAGTCCACGGCCCCAGCGCTTGGAGTGTTAGATCATGGGTAATTCGAGGATGGTCGTGGAGTCGCAGAGCGTCTTTGATGTCCTCTGTAGACACGCCACTGTTACCAAGCGCAAAGCCGTTTTGGTACAGGGCGTTGAGGATGCTCGTCGGCGGCGCGGGGACCGCTGGGTCGCGCTGGATAGTGTTGCGTAAGTTGCGTGTCGGTGGCTTGAGGGCTGTGTAAGGCGTACCAGGGCCTGAAGGCGCCTGGGGCCTGGCGGGTGATGCATAGCGTGCTCGCCGTCGTGGTGGTTGGGTGTCCGCGTCGGGAGAGGAACCACGAGCATCAGCATGTCGGAAGATGGACCACGGGCTAACGTGGGTGCACTCACGTGTTTCCCTTGCCTCGGTGTCGCTGCCGTGTGCTGTGGCATCCTCATTAGTCGGTAGGTTACCGTATGCCGCGCCGCTTTTGGAGCCGTCTCGCGGGGACGGGCTGGTCGATCTTGGTGTGACAGACGAGGCTCGCGATACGGCGGCAGTGGCTTCGACGATGGCGGCGGTGGTGGCGGTGGTGACATCGGCGACTGCGGCGGCAACTGCTGCGGCGTAGTGTTCCTGCAGCAGCGGATGTCGGAGGAGAGAGAGAGAGAGAGAGAGAGAGAGACAGAGCGGAGAGAGAGAGAGAGAGAGAGAGAGAGAGAGAGAGAGAGAGAGAGAGGGGAGTTGAGAGAGGAGAGAAGAGAGAAAGAGAGAAAGAGAGAGAGAGAGAAGAGAGAGAGAGAGAGAGAGAGAGAGAAGAGAGAAGAGAGCGAAGAGAGGTAGAGAGAGAGAGAGAGAGGAGAGGAGGAGAGAGAGAGAACGTGGAGAGACAGAGGGGGTGAAGAGAGAAGAAGAGAGAGAGAGAGAGAGAGAGAGAGAGAGAGAGAGAGAGAGAGAGCGAGAAGAGAGAGAGAGAGAGAGAGAGAGAGAGAGAGAGAGAGAGAGAGAGAGAGAGAGCGGGAGAGAGCGAGAGAGAGAGAGAGAGCAGAGAGAGAGAGAGATAGCGGGAGAGAGCGAGGGAGAGCGAGAGAGAGCGAGAGAGAGCGAGTGAGAGCGAGAGAGAGAGAGAGAGAGCGAGAGAGAGCGACAGAGAGCGAGAGAGAGCAAGAGAGAGCGAGAGAGCGAAAGAAAGAGAGAGAGAGAAGAGAGAGAGAGAGAGAGAGAGAGATAGAGAGAGAGAAAGAGAGAGAGAGAGAGATAGAGAGAGAGAGAAGAGAAGAGAAGAGAAGAGAGAGAGCGAGAGAGAGAGAGAGAGGGAGAGTGAGAGAGAGAGGAGAGAGCAGAGAGAGAATAGAGAGAAGAGAGAGAGGAGAGAGAGAGAGAGAGAGAGCAGAGATAGAGGCAGAGAGAGAGAGGCACAGAGAGAGAGGCAGAGAGAGAGAGAGCAGAGAGACAGAGGCAGAGAGAGAGGCAGAGAGAGAGAGAGGCAGGGAAAGAGAGGCAGAGACAGAGAGAGGGCAGAGAGAGAGAGAGAGACAGAGAGAGCAGAGAGAGCAGAGAGAGAGGCAGCTCAGTCACACTTAAATCCAGATTCGTCCTCACCGAGTCCCACCACCAAGGGAGCGCCAGCAAGGAGATGCACATATGGGGATCCCCACGCAGTGAATAATTGTTTTGTTCGTCGAAAATCCCCCTGTAGGGGGACAGGCCCGACTTAACACGAGCTCCCGGGGGCGCAAGGCTGGACCTGGACGGTGTTTTGGCGATGTCGTGGGCCGTCTTCGTTGCGGTGTCGTTGTGCGTTTAGAGGCGGGTGGAAGGCGAAGCGAGGGAAGACGAAAGCAAAGCGAACACGAACAACGCCGTTTAGGTTCAGCCCTGCCGGGGCGGGCGTGCTCGTGGGGTGTGTATGTTCTCTGCGCACCCTCTGCGCAGGATCTCTTCTCCTCCCCCATCTGTCAGGGCAACAAACGATGACATGAGCACAGAATCTCGGAGGTCCGCGCGGAGTTCTCGGATCCCCGCTGGACCCCCCTGGCGGCGCCTTCGGCGCCGCCCCTGGCAAGCTCCGGGCGCCAGGGAGGGGGGTTCAGCGCCGATCCGAGCGGGAGCCTCGTCGGTGAGTGAATTGCGAGGAGGCTCAGTGGGGATCTCCCTCCGTATGGGGCCCGTACCTCATGTGATTCATCCGAGCGGGTCATCCTCAAACCTCTAACTGTCGTTGTTTTTGTTTGGCTCCTCAGGTACGATGTTGTAGGAAGTCTCGAGCGGGAGCCTCGTGTGTGTGTGAATTGCTTGGAAGTCTCAGGCGGGAGGCCCCTCCCTTTGGGGCCCGCAGCTCATGATACTAATCCCAGTGGGTCATCCTCAACCTTGAAACTGTCGTCATGTTTGGACCACTTAGGCTTTCGGAGGATGTCTCAAGCGGGAGTCTCGCCTGTGAGTGAATTGCGCGGAAGGCTCAGGCGGGAGCCCCCTCCCTGCAGGGCCCGCAGCTCATGTTATCAACCCGAGCGGGTCATCTTCAAACTTGTTCGAGCGGGAGCCTCGTCGGTGAGTGAAATCCTAGGAAGTCTCAGGCGGCAGCCCCTCCCTATGGGGCTCATGTTACTAACCCGAGCGGGTTATCCTCAAACCTGTAATTGTCGTCACGTTGGGGCTCTTCAGGCTTGAATATGGAGGCAGTCTCAAGCGGGTGCCTCGTCTGTAAGTAGAATTGAGAGGAAGGCTTACGTAGGTTCGCAGCTCATGTTATCAATCCGAGAGGGTCATCCTCAAACCTCTATTTGTCGTCACTTGTAGGCCCGTCCCTGTTACACTTGACTATGGAGGAAGTCTCGAGCTGGAGCCTCGTCGGTGAGTGCATTGCCTGGAAGTCTCAGGCTGGAGCCCCCATCCTACGGGGCCTGCAGCTCATGCTGCTGATCCCAGCGGGTCATCCTCAAACTTGTAACGGTCGTGAGTCTCAGGTGGGAGCCTCGCTTGTGAGTGAATTGCGTTGAGGCTCTGGGGGGATTCCCCCCCTGTAGGGCCCGCACCTCACGTTACTAGGGTCATCCTCAAATTTGTAGCCGTCGTCGATTTGGGGGTCCTCCAGCCTGAACGTTGAGGAAGTCTCAAGCGGGCGCCTCGTGTTTGCGAGGAAGTCTCAGTCGGGAGCCCCGCCCGCAGCTCATGTCAATATTCCGAGCGGGTCTTCCTCACATATGTAATCGTCGTCATGTCTGGATTCCTCAATTTTTTTATTATGGAGAGGAGGTCTCGAGCGGGAGCCTCGTCGGCAGCTTATGTTATTAATCCCAGCGGGCCATCCTCAAACTTGTAACTGTCGTCACTTTGGGGCTCCTCCGGCCTGAACACTGAGGAAGTCTCAAGCAGGAGCCTCGTCGGTCTCAGGCGGGGGCCCCCTCCCTATGAGGCCCGCAGCTAATGTTACTAATCCGAGCGGGTCATCCTCAAACCTCTAACTGTTGCCACTGTTGGGCTCTTGAGGCCTGTCTGTGGAGGAAGTCTCGAGTGGAACCCTCGTCTGTGAGCGAATCGCGCGGACATCTCGAACGGAAGCCCCTCCCTGCAGGGTCCGCACCTCCGTGTTCGGGTCCGAGCGAGCGCGAGGAAGTCTCGGGCGGGAGCCATTCCGTACGGGGCCCGCAGTTCATGTTCGAGCCCGGGTGGCTCATCCAACCCCTGCAGCGGCCGTTACGGCGTGGCGATCTGGCCATCGGAGGGGGAGGAGGCAGGAGGACGAGAAGGAGGAGGGCAGGGGGCAGGAGGACGAGAAGGAGGCAGGAGGACGAGAAGGAGGCAGGAAGACGAGAAGGACGAGAAGGAGGCATGGCAGGGGGCGGGAAGGGGGCCTCCGCCGGGGCGAAAGGGAGAAGGGCGGTGAGGAGACGCGAACAGTGCCTCTGCACTCGCAAGGGCGACGAGGAGATGTTCTTCCAGATTTGGTTGGGAGGTCACCGTCTGGTGTCCTACCGTCGGAGCAATTTCATATTCTGGCGCGTTACCTGGGCCAATCCATCCTCCTCCTCCTCTCCCTCCCCTCCTCCTCCTCCCGCCTCCTCCTACTCTCTCCTCTTCCTCCTCCCTCCTCCTCCCTCCTCCTCCCTCCTCCTCCCTCCTCCTCCCTCCTCCTCCCTCCTCCTCCCTCCCCCTCATCTCCTCCTCCCTCCTCCTCCTCCTCCTCGCCTTCTCCTCCTCATCCCTCGTCCCTTTTTCTCCTCCTCCTCCCTCCTCCCTTTTTCTCCTCTCCCTCCTTTTCCCCACGCTGAACGGTACCGAGCGTACGCCTGGTGGGGTCTGTTGGGGCTGACAGGCGCCCCGCCCTTGCTCGCAGGACACCCTGCCCTGCGCGCGCTCGCAGGTGTTGCGCAGGTGCCCATGCTCACGCAAGCGTTTTCGGTATACCTCGGGCCCCCCCCTCTGAGGGGAAAGGCGGGAGAGCAGGGAGAGGAGGAGGAGGAGGAGGAGGAGGAGGAGGAGGAGGAGGAGGAGGAGGAGGAGGAGGAGAGGAGGAGGAGGGGAGGAGGAGGAGCGAGGAGGAGGAGGAGGAGGAGGAGGAGGAGAGGAAGGAGGAGGAGGAGGAGGAGGAGGAGGATGGGAGGAGGAGTAGGAGGAGGGAGGGAGGAGGAGGAGGAGGAGGAGAAGGAAGAGGAGTATGAGGATGAGGAAGACGAGGAAGGGGGAGGAGCGGGAATGGAGAGGAGGAGGAGGAGGAGGAAGGAGGGGAGGAGGAGGAGGAAGGAGGAGAGGAAAGGGAGAGGAAGTGAGAGGGAGAGAGGGAGGGAGTGAGGAGGAGGAGGAGAGGTAGGAGGAGGGAGGAGGAGGAGTCGGGGGAAGGAGCAGGCATAGCCGGGCGCGGGAGGACGACGGGAGCATGAGGAGGGAGCCGGGGAGGAGAAGTGGGAGAAGGACCGGGCGAGGTCGAAGGGCGCAGGGGAGGCGTGGACAATGGACCACCCCTGCCCCGGCTGTGCTCCGGAGGCGGGCTGCTGCGCACGCGGATGCCGCGATGCTGGGTAGGGGGGCGGAGGAGTGCGGCGCCGCCGTTGGCCCGCGGCGCCCGCCGCGGGGAGGCGGTTCTCGCATTCGCGGGCCGGGGGGGCCGTCCTGGCGACGGCGGCGCGGGGAAGGCGAGGGCGAAGAACGACGAGGGGCGAACGCAAACGCGGTAACGGCGGAGGCATGAGGAAGAAAAGGAGGAGGAGGAGGAGGAGGAGGAGAAGGAGGAGGAGGAGGAGAAGGAGGAGGAGGATGAGAAGGAGGAGGAGGAGGAGGTGGAGGAGGAGGAATAATAATAATAATACCAATAATATCAATAAAGATGAGAAGCAGAAGCATACGAATAAGCATAATAATAGGAATAATAAGGCGAATACGAATACTAATAGAAATAAGAATACGAAGAGGAGGATGAGGAGGAGGAGAGAGGGGAGGAAGAGGAGGAGGAGGATTACCGTCATGAGCCCAGAGTGCAATACGGCATCCCGTCCCAAGTCCTATCCTCATTCGTCCGTGCACCCGCTCTTCCTCTACATGAGAGGCGCTCCGCTTGGAAGACGAGTGCCCCTGGTGGGCCCTTCATTCCGGAGGGCGCCTCGTGTTGACAAGGAGTTGCTTTTGTACCCTTCCGGCGAGTGGCACCGAATACGTACAGGTAGGACCACGATCTTCCACGACCGTCATCGTCATCTCCAACGTCGTCGTCGTCGTCGTCGTTCTCGTCGCCGTCGTCGTCATTGTCGTCGTCGTCGTCAGACCAGTGTCTTCAACGATGTGGCCAGCGAAAGCCCAGTCTTGAAAAGGAACCGCCTCCCATCCGTTCCATGGTTGCACATGTTTCCACCTCGGGTCGCCTCCCCCCGCGGCCGCCCCCGTCCTTCCTCCTCCCCCCTGCTGCATGCCGGCCAACTCGCTTTGTGTAGTGAACCTGCATCGCTACCACGCTGGAGCGGATTGCCCCGCCTCGCCGCCGACGAAAAGGAAGTTGCCATTTCGGGCCATGCCGATGGGGGAAGCCCAAGTTCGGGTGCCACAATGCAGTCGCCGCGGCCGAGCCCATGGCTGCGCTGTGGTGCATGCTGCACGAGAGCGCGCGTGTATCCAGTCGTTGTGAAACGATGCAGTTCCTGTTCACGCAAACGACACCATCTGTCTCATTTTTGTGTGTTGAAAGTTGCGGTTTGCTTTGACGTGTGTCGCCGGACTCATTCAGTGCGTGTGAAGCTTAGGCATGTTTGAACCGTCGATACGGTTTCACGTTTTCATTGGCCAAGCTTCATGCGACTGTTTCGGCATCCGAAACTTACAAACAACCCATGCCGACGAGGTCGCTTACACTTCCCCTCTCCTTGGGCCTCCTCATTCCTTTTCACCCTCCTCGTCTGCCACGTCTTCCCTTTCAGGCAGGGTAAGAAGAGTATTGTAGTGGCCTTCGGCCAGTGCCGCCGATCCGGGTCGCTCGGGGTTATTCTCCAGACGCAGAAATTATGGGCGCACACTCAAACGCACACACACATTCACACCACTTAACCTGCGCCGCAGACATGCGCACACAGCATCACCCACACACACATACTAGTTGGGAAACGCTCCTGTAGTACTAGTAGTAGTATTAGTAGTAGTAGTAGTAGTAGCAGTAGTAGTAGTAGTAGTAGTAGTAGTGGTAGTAGTAGTAGTAGTAGTGGTTGTGGTAGTAGTGGTAGTAGTAGTAGAGGCCTCGTTCCGCGGCTTCTCTCGACTTCCCGCGGTCTCTCTCAATTTTCGAGCACGCGGTGAGTTTCACGATATATGTGTGTGTATGTACGCGTGCATGCATGTATGCATGCATTGATCATGTGTGCCTGTGTGTAGGTACGTATGTATGTATGTTTGCTTGTGCGCGTATGTATGTATTTAGTTTGTATGTATGTTTGTATGTGTGTATGATAATATGTGTGTATGTGTGTGAATGTAAGTATGTATGTCTGGAAGATTGTTTTTCTATGTATGCAAAGGTGTTTAAATGTAGGTATGTATGCATGTGTGTATGGATGTGCGTTTGAAGAGCGAGGATGTTTCAAAGAAGAGGCACTCGGTGACGCGATCGTTGAGGGATAGGAGTGAGGTCGCAGAGGAGGAGGAGGAGAATGAGGAAGAGGCGATAACTTGCAGGAAAACGATGAGACGGAGGACATCCTGCCGGTGGCGCCCTGGGCGGTGCCGCGGAAGAAACCGGGGGCCTGCCGGAGGCAGTCTGGAGGCCTCTGGGGAGCTGTTTTGGGGCCTCTTGGAACCTCTTGTGGGCCTCTTGTGGGCTTCTTGGGGCCCCTTGGGGGTCTCTTGGGGCCTCCTGGGGGCCTCTTGGGGCGGAAAGCTCGGTTCTTTCGGTTCGTGGTCCCCCTCTTGGGCCCCTCTTGGGGCTCTCTTGGGGCCGTCTTGGGCTGTCCAGAGGCCCTCTTGGGCCGTCTTGGGGCCCTCTTGGGCCGTCTTGGGGCTCTCTTGGGCCGTGTTGGAAGCATCGTGGGCCGTCTTGGGACGGACTTGGGGGCCTCTTGTGCCGTCTTCGAGCGTCGGACGCCCGAAAAGGCAAGAACGCTAAAAACCCTGAGAAAACCAATGAAAATCAACGATTCTGGCCTCTTGGGGCCCTCTTGGG